AAGAAATTCTACTGAGAAATGGTGACACAATCCTATTACTTTAACCATATCTATTTATCATATCATTTGCTTATGTTCGAACTTTGCTAAAATAATCAAGAAATAAATAAAACGCTGGTATTAATAATTTGATTTTTTTATCATTAGCTTAAATCTTGTAAGTGATAAATTGCGATGTCTCATTTACAGGGCCAATGAAGTATACCTTTTTTATTGAATATATTATTATATTTGAATTAAGCTTAATATTTACGATAGAATTATAATGCAAATATTTTTTTCGTTTTGTTTTCTCCAACGTTAATCTGGTGAATGATAAATTTATATATACCATTGGCAGGGCCAGACAGCAAACACCTATAAAACTAAAACTGGTATGTCATGTATCCTCTGCCCTCCTGGATACTATCACATAAAGGATTGTGAAATGCCCGGTACGATTGCTGTGTGCAGGCCATGTCCAGCGGGAACTTTTTCAAACACGTTCAACAGAGCTATACACTGCGCCGCCTGCATGCCTCACTGCGAGTCGGATGTCCTTGACACGGTTCAAGAGTGTAACGCCACTATGGACATGGTATGTGATTGTCCGCCCGGAAAAATTCTTGAAAACCCCATGGACAAATTCCACGCTAAATGTAAGCCTTTCATAGGCTGTGAACTAGGATCGGGAGTGATTGATCAAGGTAGGTTTTATCAAATTGTAAGAAGAAAAAGGAAATAAAAATCTTAAATGTTTGTCAAAATCAATAGCAAAGATAAGTGTATATTTTGTTAATGCGAGTTAATCAAATTTGTCTGCAACTTGAATACGAATCATTAACGACAAGTAGAATACAAACACGTCCGCCATATCACCATGTATCACCATGATAAATTAAAAAAAAAATATGAGGATTTTTTGAAATAATGCCCGTACCCTTCCACCCCTCATGTCCAACCCAGTCGATTTTTAGTAACATTGATCATCACATTTGAAAGTTTTTAAATCCTTATTGCACATCTTCCTAAAATGGGTCTTAACTAACACAGTATCTTATTTAGACTAAACCAAGTTCACATTTTCCAAATATGACAGGGACAGACTTCTACGCTGAAATAACTTAACGATATCCTTTAGAAATATTTCATCTTTACAATTACAAAACAAGTTAAGAACTGAAGATGGAGACTTATTTGTAAACGCTACAATAGAACAGTATCCAGGGATACAGGGAATATTATAATCAACATCACGACTCATTCTGTTGTCAGGTACGCCAGGTCATGAGCCAGTCTGCGCAAAGTGCAGACCAGGTATAACTTTTTCCCCGGAAGTGTCATGGCATGAACCTTGCTACCCATGCACGCGATGCCCGAACGATGACGTGTTGCAGGGATGCAACACAACACACGACAGCATTTGTAATTTGCCGAGACGTTAGTATTCATATTTTCCTGTTAACTTGTTATACAATTAGGAAAACTAGTGTTTTTTTATACATCGTGTGTGTGTATATATATATATAAATATAAAACAGTTTAATTGCTTATACAGACGATTATGTTCATTAACGTCAAATTTAAAATAAGATAAATCAAAGAATGTGTTTTATTCTGTCATATTTACAAAATAAGGAATATTAAATTATTGAAGTTATTGGTGAATATTATAACATATATTAATGAAATGAATATGTTCAGTACATAAAATGGAAGTTACATCTGAGTGTATTATGATTAATTCGGTTAATATTAAGGTAGAAAGGCAGACAATTCTCACCATGTTTACTTATTTTTATATAAAATCACCAATACTTTAAATTATTTTTCATCCCATTACAAATTTTTAGATTAAGAAAATTATATAAACATTGTAAAATATAGCAGTCCGATTTAGTATTTTAACCTTTTAATTTTATTTAATTCAAACAGTTAAAATCCATATCGAAGCAATATATAATATGAATTACTTCTAATTTCAGCATCCTGGCGTGTGATTGCCGCAATACCTTCTATAGTTGTTAACTGTGTTTTCATGCTGGCTATACTGTTTATAGCAATAGTAATATATATAAGATGGATTCGAAAAAAGAAACATGAACTAAAAATTGATGAAGAGGAATGTAGACCGTTGAGTCCTGTTTCTAGCAACAGAAGCAGGTAAGATTAACATCACAACTTCCTCCACTATTTAGCTCTGCTTGTTTTCCAATTGCAATTGAAAGATTACTGTAAATATAGCTACAGGAACCGTTAAATGTTATCGATGTAAATATATTTGACCACGAAGGACGTTGCAAGCAAATATATATACGTATGACATAACACTTTTTAAAAACATAAACAATAATAACACGATGTCGTGATACGGTCACCATCACAATTTATTCGTTGTCATACTACTGTATACGCCGTCAAAATGAAGGTCAATCCTTATATTTACATAAAAGAAAGTCTATATGTTATACGAAGAAATAACAGTCGAAGCGGGTAAAAATGTTTTAGCAGAAATTTACAGTAATTTCTACCTTAAACCAGTGTTTGTGTAACGTCCATCTTTCAAGACTCTGATGGTGGATTGTTAAGTCCCCGAGGTTTGCTCTAACCTTGATGGCAACAGTTATTTGTTTTGGGTTGTGGCACGCATCAGCATAAACCACTTTGCAGATTGTTTTGATGTGAAGTTAACATGTATTCCTGTTTATTTTTAAATACATTAAATACATTCAGGGGTTTTACGCACATGCCCGTGTTTCACATTGGTTTCACATTAGTTTAGACAATTTAGATTTCAAACATTTTGGCACCTACCAAACATCAACGATGAGTCCATCAAACAGTTGTATGATACGGTGTAATTTATTTTTACCATACTGTATCTATAGTATTTTTTTAAGGTACAATAAACTATGTGCACGTGTGTTACGTTCATCTTCCGATCAGTTTTTCCTTTCTGTTCTTTTTTTCTCAGTGATTCCGGTTTGGACAAAATTTCTGAACAAACAGAAATGGAGACGTTAGGTACTAACTGGGGACCTATATTCCGGATGGTATCCAGACATATAACAGGCAACTGGAAGGATGTGATACGGAGTTTGTTTCATGGTATGTTTATGTAAACATCGAGTCTGTTTCATGGTATGTTTATGTAAACATCATGTGTTAAATCATGCAATCTTCAGACGAAAGCTTCAGTTGTTTGCTCTTAATATAATATTTAATTCACCTGGCGCAAAGGACCGGTAGACTTAATTTTCTAAGCCGTGGCGCGGTGTCAGTAACCCGTCTGTCCGCCATCTTTTCCTTTTCAACACTTCTATTCCTGAACGGCTCAAACGAATTTTGACTAAATATGGCATTTAGTACCCTTTGGCATTTTGTAAAAATGGAAAGTATGCCCCCTGGGGACTGAGGGGCGGGGCCCAATATAGGAAAGTTATGTAAATCGTTCTAATTATTCTTCTTTAAAAATGGAGGGATTCTAACCAAATTGTGCCCAGGGTATCATTGGGCAAAAATACTTTCAATCAACTCTATGTCGCAGGGTATTTATTCTTGCGTAAATTTGAACTAAAATAGTTGAAAAAGCATGTATGACTGGATAACACAAGAAAGACACACCGAGTGAAGCGATAAATATTGTCAGATCGAGTAATACAGAAATAATATAAACTGTTAAGTTCGTTTACAATGAAAACATACTTTATATTGATGAGTGTTTCTTTCTCGATACATGGTTTCACAAAAGTTAAGGAATGATTTTTTGATCAGTTGAGAATATTTCATATACCAATGAATGATAATATTGTTTAAATCAACATTTAATAGAATTAAAATGCAACGATTAGATTGCATGCGCAAAAAAGAAGTTCACAATACATGGACCTTTCAAATTACGCTTTGATTCTCTATGCATTTCAGCCATAGACGTTGACGACTGTGATACAATCATTCAGGAACAACAAAATAACAGCCTATCTAATACGGAACAGATTTACCAGTGCCTTTTAAAATGGCAACAACAAGGGAGATCTCATTCGACAGACATCCTGGTCCAAATCCTAACCGAGAGATCCTACCATGAACTTGTGCGAAAAATGCGAGCTGATTTTCAGTCAGAATTCACAACGAATCCTGACACAACCTGAAAAAAGCCATAGTTATATTTGGTCAACCAAATTCTTCTAATCAAATGGAAGACTTGTCCCCAATTTCAAGGGATCATTTGATGGTCGGGTGGTTTAGTGGGTAGAGCACTCGTCTTTCTACGACATGGGCGGAAGTTGATTCCTCGTTTGCTTGTTGAATATCAAAATCGATATCGGTTTCATCGAAATGTTTCATACATTTTATCCAAGGGCAGATGTACTTGGTTAAATGATATGTACACATTCTATAAATAGCTGTAAGGAATTTCCACAAAAGCATTTAAAATCTAGGTGTAGTACATAAGCTATAACCCGATGTACAGTATGTAACGTTGATCTCTTTTGGGTGTCATAATACCTTCTGCCTTTCCTTATACGAGCTTCAATCAAAATTAAATGACAAATTGTCCTTTCATTTGTCTTAGGTGCAAGGTGCGTTTCATCTGCTGTTAATTTATATAACATATAGAATGTAGTTCTAAACGGGAATATGTGAAGACTACATTATATCTGTTGAGTACATCATAGTTATGTATATGTCAGTGTTTTCCTTAATTGCCAAGTCACATGTACCCCGAGGTAAATATTTTCATCCTAATGTATGTATAATGACTTAGTTGTTACGATTTTAGATTTTCTTTACCCTTTTCTCTTGAATTGCTATCGATCTTTTAATGTGATAGTATTTCAGAAAAAAAAAATCTCTTCTTTTACTTGTTTTATGTGATTGATCTGAGAAGTTAATACTAACTCATTGTCTTAAGATCTGGAAAATCCTATTGACTCAAACTTTCTAACTTTTTGTAAAATTGTATATGAAACTTAATGACAATAAGTAAAGTTGATCTAAACAGATGTAATACTATCGTTCTTTTTGTATATCACTTATCTGCTTCATTTAAACCGTCCTTAAGGATGTACACTTCTGAGGTTTCAGTCACGTTCAAGTCTCG